CCATGTGGTCACCTCCGGGGCAGGCGGGAATTGAACTCATGCGGAAGCGGCTTTAGATTCTCAGTGCAGTGCTTTAACCCGCTGTGCCACCAGGGAGAAAGCCATGTTTTTTTAATGATTTATTTATTTATGCATCCAAGAACTTGGGTACCAGCCTGAGGTACGGGGGGTGAGAGGATTCACCAGAGACAGAGTGGGGAGCAGAACAGGCAGATCATTGACGTACACTGCTGAGGGGAGCAGTGGACAGGTCAGGAGAGGTCTGCTGCACCGTGTGGTCACCTCCGGGGCAGGCGGGGATCGAACTCATGCGGAAGTAGCTTTAACGCCTTAGTGCTGTGCTTTAACCCTCTGCGCCAGCAGGGAGGGCCCCCAGGTACTTTTTAAGTCCTATGAAAGATGGTGTGAATCTTTGCTAGGCAGAGTTGTCTGTGTTTGGGATTACAATTATAAAATCAGTTGCCTAGAATGAGACTGTCAGGAAGATTTAAATATATATAACTTCTTTTCTGAATAAAGTTATTTAATCATTTCCAATCCCAATTTAATGGAGACAGTGTTTATTTTAGAGCTTTTATTATTAAGTGTCCGCCCAAGAAAGTGAGGTGGCGAGAGAGCAAGACGCCATAGTTTGGGCCGCTTCTTCGCAGGGCTCTGCTGTTACGGCAGGTAAGGTCCTTACCAAGCAGAAAACAACCCTTTGAGAGCAGTGTGGTGTTGGTGACATTTTGAAGCCACTTTCCTCTGTATCTTACATTGCTTCAATCATTAAATTAAAAAATACGTAAGCACTTTGCACACGAGATTGGGGCGTTTCCCTCAACATGCCCGGCTGTCACGCCGAGGGAGGTCAGGCCTGTAGCTGAAGCGTCTGTCTCGTCTGCTCCCGTCGCTGCCTGACATAGCTGCTTCTCAGGTGGCCTGGGGCCCACGAAACCCAGCCACATGGGTAGGCATGTGGGGGCATCGCGTGGGCCTTACTGGCCCATGGGACTCAGAGGTCTGAGGGCTGTCTGAACCCAGAGGGTGGAAGGAACCTTGTGAGGGCAGTTTCAGGTCTTCAAATTCAGGATAAAGGCTGAAGGGGGAAGAGTTTGAAGCCTGTTAACATGGTGAAGTGCCCTGACTGGCTGCCAGTGTTGGAGCAGCCTGGAGTCCGGGGTAACCCCATCTGCCCACCTGGGTATGGTCTAGTGCCCTTGTTATCTACTGCTGTGTTTGATGTGTGAATGCTGCCAAGAGTTCTGCATCTCCTTCCGTGAAGAAGAGTTGCCTATGACTTTATTATTTTAGGGTTCGCTATCAGGGTTATATATCCCCATAAAACAAGTTTGGAGCTATTCTTTCTCTGATTTCCGAAAGTTTATGAGCTGTCAGTATCCCCCCCCCCCCTTATTTTTGTTTTAAATACATCTTTAAAAATCAAAGTGACATTAGGTACCCCCAGCAGGTACCACCGTAGCCCCGCCCCGGCCCCCTGTGCTTCCTTCCCTCTTTGTTCTTGCCTCTCCCCACACTCCTCCCTTTTCCTGTCACATTTGCTGTAGTTCACCATTGAAACCATTAGAAAGTTTTCTTTGTGGGAAAGTTGTTTAATTTGTTTCTTGTTTTGAAAAGATACAGGGCACTTCAGACTTTGTATTTCTTCTGTGTCCATTGGGTGAATTTTATTTTTAAAAGGAATTTATTAATGTCATGTAAATTGTTGGGTTATTGACTTACATAGTCTGTTATAGTTTCTTATTTTAATGTCTGTAGGATCTGTCGTGTTTTCTCCTGTTAGTGCCTGGTTAATGTGCTGGTTGCAATGAATGCTGTTACCTATGATGTTTAAAGATAGGGCAGTGTGACAGGCTCCCTTTGGAGTATTAGAGGCCTTTAAATGATGGGGGTAGGTGTTAAAAGTGTAGCTCAAAACAAAATGTGTGTTAGTCCCAGGAACTCCTGCTAAGGTTTCGTATTATCTTCAAAACAGTCATGGGCCTTACGTCCTGCATCATACGTGTGCCAGATCAAGCTGGTGGGGGAAACTACTGTGGCCAAGTTTAGTTAAATCTACCTGTCAGATCTAGCACCATAGCTGACTAAATCTCTTCAGTGAGTGAATCATGGGTTATTAAGTGCGGAATTGCCCTTTGGCCGTCTGAGGTTAATCTCAAGAAGAACCAGTTGGCCCTTGCTGCCACTAGCAGACCGTGGCCAGCTCTGATGTGACGTGGCCTGCTTGGCCAGAGCGCTTTGTGGTGTCACTGTCCTGCGTCCTGGATGCCCCGCCACGCCGCCTTGGGGTGGAGCAGGCTCTTCATTGCGCAGGCTTCTGTCCTCGCTGGTGGCACTGGCATCACCTCCTAGGAGCCCGGACACAGATGTTTGGTGTCCCCAGTGATTGCTTGTGGCTTTCTTAGGCCACCTACATACTAACACAGCAGTTTACTGAGCAGCGCGGAAGGAAGGAGTAATTCAGAGCGAGATTATGAGACTAAAAAGACTGGGGCTGAGGGTTAAGTAGCTGCCACGTTCTCAGCTGCAAAACCCTTCCTCTCTCTGGCCAAGTTAGCGTCTTCGCGGCTCTCCTCCGTCCATGTCTCCGTTGTCTCCACGTGCCCGTGACGCTGTTTGCTTTAGTGACGTGCGCTCCGCAGGGCCGTCGCCGGTCCGTGCAGTGTGCGGTGGAGGTGGACATGGGGGAGGTTAAAATGCCTGCAGGCTGATGGGTCTGTCTCAGACTCTGGGCAGTGCTTTGATGTGAGTGGAAGCAAAGGCGTTTGTCCTTTCTTAAAATGCTGCTCTTAAGTGAGGCGTGGGACCTGTGCCAGATCTCCTCTTGCTTTCTCCTCACCCCCAGTGGGCTGGGTGAGGGTTGGCTCCTGTCTCCCTAGTTTTCCTAGGGGTGTGGTGGAGCATTTAGTCACACTTGCCTTGTTTGTCTCCTAGTCACACCACCTTCCAGCAAATCCTGTAGACAAGTAAAACAGTCCTGGAGCTCTGTGTTTGATGGCCGCGGTCTGTCCTGGGCACCACAGGTGCACTGGGTTCCCCGCACCGCCAGGCCGGAGTGAGGCGCGAGGCTGCAGGCAGCAACCCGGACCGAGAGGGGCTAGCACTTGTCTAGGGCACAGTGATCCGTGGGCTAGTGAGGCGCACATCGCGCTCTGTCACGGCACACCGGGAGGGAGGCCCGGCCAGACCGCACGTCCTCATGACGGAGCCTGCTGTGAGGCTGCACGTCGACTCCGGGCCCGTGTGGAAGGCTGCGGATGGCTGCCGGGAGGCCCCTCCGCGCGAGCACCTCTTGGTCCTTGTCCCTTCAGGAATGCTCCTCACCCCTCAGTTGGGTTTGTGGAACAAGTGTCAGCCACAGAATAGCCACAGGCCTCCTGTCGGGCGCATTGGGCCGGGGCAGAGGTTGGGGTCTCTGAGTCGCCGCAGAGCGTGTGAAGGCGCATCCAGACAGGCTCTTCCTCAGTGTGGCTTCATGACTGTAGAATTCTACCTCGGTGCAGAGTTTTCCTTGTTCAGAGGGGATGTAGCACACGGTGGTGAAGAGGTTTGGCGTTTCACTTCACTTTACGCTTTTTGTTTGTGTCGCCCTCCTTACAAGGAAGGAGACAGAGCCTGTGTAGCTGGTAAGACGAGGTTTACTCTCTTCTCACTATAACCCGTTGCCCTCTCCGCCCCCCACCCCACCCCACCCACGTTAAGAGGGTGTCAGCGACGCTGGACCTCCCGCTGTGGGGCAGGGTCTGGCGCGGGGTGGGGCTCTCGTCACCTGGCTCCTGCTCGCTGCCCGGGCCCCCCACCGCAGGGGCTGCGCCTGGAAAAGCGAGGCCGCAAGCGTGAGTGATGATGAGTCTTGTGAACTTGAAGTGCTTACCGTGTGTGGCCCTCGCACGCCTGTGGACACTGGGGCTGCTTAAAATTCGCAGTGCTCCTGGGCTGTGGTGATGGCACACGGGTCATTTGGTGATGGGAAGCCCACGGGGATGACAACTGAGATGAAAAAATGCACTGAATGGTACAAAAATAAGCTATTATATTATTTAAAAAAACAAATCCCAGTGCTCAGGGCCCGGCTAGTGACCACGGCATGGCCCTGCAGACACAGCGTTCCGTAATGGCGGGCAGCTGCTGCTGGAGACAGCGCTGCCCTGCGGCTCCCGGGCCTTGGCCCTCAGCAGTGCCTGCCCCATGCAAGCGGGAGGGCGTGCTTGCTTTTCTGTTCGGTCCCACACCAGGAAGGTTTTTGTCCACACGGAAAACCATGAGAGCGCTTCAGAGAAGACGAGGGTTTTCTTTCAGCCTCAAAGTGGAGGGTAGTGCTGGCCTTCTTGGGCTCCCCGAGGGGTCAGGTGACTGTCAAGAGGCCAGTTTGGATGTTAGTTTCAGGGGAAAGTCAAACAGAAGAATGGAATGTTGCTGCCTTGCTGTCACCGTGGGCCTGCCTGTAGCTCCAGTTCCTCTACTCTGCGCCTCTCATCTGTCCCACCTGCTCAGTCAGATTCTTTGTGGCGATAATGTGGTTTGGCGGGTATTCAGCCTGTGAATCACAGTTTCCCTTATCCCAGCCGGCGAGCTGGGGCGACGCCCTGTGCCTGCAGAGACCTTGCCAGCCGTCGCCCTCACGCTCCCTCAGCCTGGGGCTCTCGGAGCGCGAGGCACCGCGCCTGACGGTGGCTCTGACTGGGCACTGATGCCGGGGCCTGACGGAACCCAGGCTTCAGGTCCGTCAGTGCCATGAGGGCGGGCGGCCCTGCTGGCTGACGGTTCGTGCTGAAGCGGGGAGGGGACAGGGGCTCCCAGGTGCGGTGCCTCCCGTGAAGGCGCAGTGCCCCACGCTCCCCAGGGGGTGCCAGAGCAGAGGTAGAAGTAGTAGAAAGTTCTGCGATGGGAAAACATGTCGAGCGTCTTTGCCTCACATCGCCCGTTGGTTTCACAGGTCGCTCCGGCGGTGTGTTGCGTTCCGCTTCCCCCTCCCTGGGAGCCCGCTGCCAGGATACGCTCACGTGGCGCCCGACACTCACCGACATCCCTCTGCGCGGGCTGGTGTGTAGTAAGGGGCCCAGGCACCCCGCCAGAGGGTGGCTGACCCAGGCAACTCTCCCTCCCTCTGACTCCTGTAGGCTGAAAGCGAAGAAACCAAGGAGCGTCTGTTCGAGTCCGTGCTCAGCGAGTGCCGGGACGCCCTCCAGGCCGTGCGGGAAGAGCTCAAGCCCGACCAGGTAGGTCGCAGCCGGGCGGCGGCTCTGTCCCAGCGGAGGTCCGGGAGTGTGGTTCTTGGCCCACAGGCCGAGCGCAGTGACTCTTGGCCGTTTTTGGTGTTTAATGTGATTGGCTAACAAATGGCAAACACCTCTGGGCTCCGTCGGGTTCAGAGAATCTTTTCCTGCCCTGTTCCGCGTGACGGTTTCACGTACGGCGTGCCGAGCCTGTGGGCCAGCCCAGCTGCAGGCCGCGGCGCCCGCGCGCCTTCCTCGTGACTGCTCCAGATCACGCAGGCGTCTGGGCGCAGAGCCTCAGAGCCCTTGCGCAGAGCCCCGCTGATTCTCCCTTTGTAGCCGCTCTCTGCCCTGCCAGCCGCCTGTGTCCTGAACAGCCCTTACCTTACACCAGACCACCTCACAGGCCTCTCGGCCGCGCTCCTGTCTTGGAGTCCGTCTGTCTCCAGGCCTTTGAGGGAGATGCACTGGTCTCTGGCTCTAGGGCAGAGGTCTTCAAACCCACAATAATGCACCCCCAAAATACAAAGAGCATGCACCTCTGAGGTATTTACTGGCAAGTGATACTCCCTGTAATTCATCTGATTTGCCACATAGGAAGTTCATTACAGGAAAGGTTTCAGAAAGGAGGTAAATGAAGGCAGACGTGCTCGTGGCCACGCCCGCTCTGGGGCAGGCGCAGGCGCCATGAGCACAGTCCAGACCGGGGCTCCGCCAGCCCCGCCCGTGTCCAGTGTGGGCCTTTCCCACCTCCACCAGCGCACCTGCCTCCTTTCCCTCTCCTGCTCGCCTGTCAGACCCGCCTGCTGCCCCGGAGCCTGCCACGTCCTTGCCCGCGGAGCTCTCCCCATTGTCTGGTCACCTGACGCTTGCGGGGCTACTGTTTGGTCCAGTGCTGCCTTCTAGCATTTTGTGGTGATTTTTTAGTTACCCTTCAGTCATATTTATCTCAAGATTGTGAACAAGCGTATTTTTTCAGCATCTGCCATAGCACCTGGAGATTAAAATGTGCAGTAAACACTTGCGCTCTCGCCACTCCTTCCTGCGCCGGCTGAGCAGCCTTGTAGACCGTGCTTTTCTTCCCCTCTCCTGCCACGCAGAGCCTCCGGCCTCCACCTTGACTCCCGGCAGCTGGGCCGCACACCAGATGCAGTGAGCGGAGTGAGGCGAGCCTTGGGCTCCTCCTGCTGCTGCTACGTTACACACGAAGTGGCTTGAGCCAGCCAGACACCTTCCCCTCGGGGGGACTGCAAGGGGTCGTCACAAATGGGCAGCATCCTTTTTAAAGATTTATTTATGCATGCACACAAGAATTGGTGCAGGCCAGAGGTGAGGGCGGGATGGGGGTGAGAGGCTCCCCAGAGACAGTGGGGAGCAGAGCAGGTGGCCCCACTGAAACGCACTGCTGAGGGGGCAGCGGGGAGCCAGGAGAAGTCTGTTGCGCCCTGTGGTCACTCCCTGGCTGGGGATCGATCTCTTGCTGCAGGAGCTGTGGCCAGCTGCACTTTAACCCCTGCACCACCAGAGAGGCCCTGGGCAGTGTCCTTTTGGCAGCTCTAGAGAAGAGTGTCCGTTGCTCAGAGAACACGCCTTCCAGCTCTTAGAGGCTCTGCACCCTTCCTCCACTTTCAAAGCCAGCAGCACCGTGGCGCTGCTCTGGCCTCGGCATCGGCCGCTTCGTGTCTGCGTTGCCGACCCTCCTGCTTCCTCTTCACAGGGGCTGTGACTGCTTTTCTGCGCCCTTGGCCAAGCCAGGCTGCGCTTGGCCCCGTCTGCCGGGCCTCTGGTCCTGTGTACAAGGACACACGGGCCAGTCTGGGCGCAGGTTTCGATGGGTGACCGTGCAGCTTGGAGCTGACAGCACCAGGCCTTGAACTTGGGTCTGAGGCACAGGCCCGGCGCGGGGCCGAGGGCTGCGTGCTCTGGTCATGCGTGGGGCCTGGCCGCTGGGCCTGCACAGGCGCCTTGCTGGCTGTGACTCTGAATTCTCTTACTTTCAAGTTTAGTTTTTGTTGCTGTGGTAGCCGAGTGACCGTCTTTCTAGACTGTGCAGCAGATGTTTGCTTCTTGAGGAGCCCTGGCTTTGTAGTCTGCACCCGTGTTTCAGGGCACTTTCGGGGGCCACCCAGGTGTGGGCAAACTGTTCTGTCTTTACCTTGTCCCCTTTCTGCAGAAACAGAGAGATTACACCCTTGATGGAGAGTCGGGGAAGGTGTCTAATCTTCAGTACCTGCACAGGTAAGAGTTGTGCGTCTTCAAAGTCTTAGCACTGAAATAATCATTGGAACAAAACAATGTACATACAGTGTCGGTGTTCGTTTTAATTTATGACTTAATATAAATCGTCATGCATCTATACATTTTATCATGTACAAATGTATGTCTTGCATGGCATATTACTAAATTAAAATTTTTAACTGCTTAAGAACTCGCTTATGGCCAGTGACTGCGGGCCTCCCTGGGGCTCACCCCCTCCTGGAGCTGGGTCACCTCCCCCCAGACCCCGCAGGTTATTCTGTGTTCTGAAGGTTCTGTGTTCCTTTCCTGTTAAGCTTTAATTCCCTCCGGAGTTTATCTCTGAATGAGGTCAGATGCACCTTTGTGGTGCGGCTCCGACTGGGCCCGGCCCGGCCCGGCCCTCCCTGCACTCTGCTGGGCCTCCCATCTCGCCCCGTCTCGCCTGCATCTGCCGGGCTCTGCTCTGGGCTTAGCCTCAACATTCCATACTGTCATGGATTAGTGAAACCGGGCGATGTGTTTGGGGGAGCAAGGTGTCCCCCAGATTCCCTCAGGTACCTCTTGATGGTTTCTGGCCCTTTGCTCTTTCATGTCCATCTTACAGTCACCTTGTCAAGTGTAATTCTTTTAAAGGTAATTCACTTTGCTTCACAAAAGACAGGGAGCGTGGACTTCCTGGGAGAAACAGATTACCTGGGGAACACCCCTGTCGTGGGTCTGCTTCTCCACGTCCCCTAAGTTCTGCTGTCGCTGCTTGTCGCTGCTCAGTGAACCTGGCGAGATTCTTAGCTATTCCCAGTTCCCACCCTCCCCCTTTAAAAGAAAAATGAAACCACAAAACTCCTTTCTGAGGGGTTAGCAGTGTGCCTGGAATGGGGAGCAGGAAGCCCTTGGTGTCCTCTCTCTGCTGGACGGGAAGGGCCGCATCTGTTGCAGACACCGCAGGCTCAACGTCGAGTAGGCCCAACAGAGGCCCCCGGGAAGCTTCCAGACTGAAGCGCCCGCCCCCGGGTCCATCGACCCCCTCAGCTCCACAGTATCGGGATCTGGTTTCACTCAGGCTGGGAGCCTGCGGCCCTGTGGATAAAGGGACCGCGGAGACAGGCAGATCTTGTGTCTCGTGAGCCCGTGGAGGTGGCCGGGCGCCTGCCCGCCCCACTGGCAGCTGCTGCTGTGTCTCCAGCCGGCTGTGCCTGCAAAGCTGTTTCCAGGGAACCATCTCCCGTCCCTCAGAGGCGCTGCTCTGCGTTCTGTCAGCGGCCACCTCTGAGTGACACGCACGGCTCCTTGGTGATGGGTGTAAACGTTTGGTGCACGTCCCCATGCGCCCTCCCTCGCCACTGCACGTTCTGTGGGTTGTTTCTGAGGGCATTTTGATTTCTAAGGGCTGGTGTTCTTCGAATGTCGTTTTTAAAATATAGTGTCTTTTTCTATCACAACCACAAAGTCTTCCTTTCTGGGTTATTAGTTTCCCTGAAGTTTCTCCTCCCTACAAAGTCAGGTTCTTGCAGGCTGCACCCCCACGCCCTAGCGGGGGTCTAGGAGCCCACACGTGCCCGGGCCTGTCGACTGAGGGCCTCACCGGCCCTCTACTCTGCCCTTCTCCCAGGGGCCCTGTTCTTGTTGCGGTGGACCGCGGCTTACTCCGGCCACCCTCCGGCCACTTGAAGCTGAGTAGGGCCAGGAGGCCAGGGGCCAGCAGGCCATGCTTGTCCCTGAGTCCTCTGTGCTCCATGCCCCCTCCCCCCACCCCGGGCCTCCTTGGACCCTCTGGGAGATGCTTGCTGCCCTGCCAGCTGCGTAGTAGGGCTTCTGAGCAGACATTCAAGTAGCAGCGTGTTTTGACCCGAACTGAGCCTGTCCCTGGACTGGCTGCTGGCAGGGCCACCTTGCCCAACAGTGTCTCCGAGCCAGTAGCGCTGCGGCTTTCACAAAAACATACAGGGGATCTAACAAACTGAGTTCTCCCGGGAGGTCTCCTACTGGCCCCTGCAGGTCTGTCACTGACCCGCAGCCAGGCCTGAGGCCCAGCCCGACGGCCCTGGCATGCGCCACAGCCTCGCCCCCAAGCTTCACCTTGGCCAGTTGCCCCTGCTCGTCCCAGACGCCTGTTCCCCCGAGCACAGCTGAGCTGCCCTCTGCTTCCAGCTACCTGACCCATATCAAGCTGTCGACAGCGATCAAGCGGAACGAGAGCATGGCGAAAGGCCTGCAGAAGGCACTGCTGCAGCAGCAGCCGGAAGACGACAGCAAGCGCTCCCCCCGGCCCCAGGACCTGATCCGGCTCTACGACATCATTCTGCAGGTGACCGGGAGAGCCCAGAGTGATGAACCCTGTGACCAAGAGGTGCTGGGAGCTGGGCACAAGAGGTCTTGTCCTTGGCGCCAGCTGAGCCATCCGGGCCCCGACAGCCAGACCTGCTGTGTGCAGAGACGGGACCCACGGGGTTCACTGAGCACTTCAATCCTGGGGTGCGGCCTGAGGCTACACTGTCTGGGCCCCTGGGGTTGTCAGTGAGTGGACTCTGCACACGTGCCAGGCATCTGTCCCTGAGGGCAGGCTGCCCCGGCGGAGTCCTGAGCCAGAACGGTCCCTGTGGCTGAGGTGGCCCAAGAAGTCTCTGCAGGAGATAAGATATGGGCTGGCACGTGAAGGACAACTTGACCTTCGTCATCAGAGACGGGGTGGCGGTGACACTGAGTATGGCTTCTGCCAAGATGGCTCCCTGTTTGAGGCAGAAACTGTCCTCCCCTCATGAGCCGTCTCCTCGTGCAGAATCTGGTGGAATTGCGCCAGCTTCCTGGCTTAGAGGAGGACAGAGCCTTCCAGAAGGAGATAGGCCTCAAGACCCTGGTGTACAAGGCTTACAGGTAAGGGCTCGGAGACTGCTGCCCTGTGTTGTGTGTCTGTAACTCTCAGTGCCTGTCCCGCCCCTGGAAGGTGTGGCTGGGTGTCCCTGGCCGGTGAGGGAGAGCAGTGGGCCCGCGTCGGGGAGCTCCGCCACAGGTGGTGGCTGCCCATGGCTGAGCCCCCGAGTAGGGCCGGGAGCATGGGCATCGTGCGTCTCCTCCCTTGCCAGTGGGGGCGGCCAGATGTGGGAGCAGGCATTGCTCACAGAACCAGTGTTGCCTCAGGAGACCCGCACTGAGTCGGGAGAGAGCTGGCTGGCCTCTGGCTCTGGGTGAATCTGGGGTTCTGGCAGATGGGAGCTGGACAGATGGGCAGTCCGCAGAGCTGAGTGCACTCTGCTCTGTTCTCTGGTCACCCCACGCGCTCCCAAGCTTTCCAGGCACCCTGTCTTCGCTCTCCACACCCTTGGCTCCCATGTGGGCCCTCTGTCCTGTCAGGGGCAAGCGGGACTCAGGCTGTGTCAGCGTCGGTGCAGCTATTTCTGTTAGGAAGAGGCTTCTTGGATTTGGTTATTCAAGAAACGCAAAGGACGAGCGGTCTGTCTTGGCCCCCCATCACCAGACTCCCCAGAGCCTGTGTCAGCCAGGCCAGCCCCAACCCCAGAGTGTTGGCTCCCCGGCGCCATGCTGGGCCAAGAAACCTGGCTCCAAAGTGTGGATCCTGCCTGAACCGCCAGGACAGCCTTGGTCTGGGGCGGCTGTTACTCTTTTCCTCCCCCACCAGGTGTTTCTTCATTGCTCAGTCCTACGTGTTGGTGAAGAAGTGGAGTGAGGCCCTTGTCCTGTATGACCGAGTCCTGAAATACGCGAATGAAGCCGGTTCTGACGCCGGAGCCTTCAAGAACAGCCTGAAGGTGACCGCTGGCCTCCGCACGTCAGGGCCGCAGCGCTGTGGTCCTGTGGCCTGCAGGGGCTGCGGCTCCTCGAGCTGGTCCCGGATGCCGGGGCCACGCCTGCGCCGCCCAGGCTGCCCAGCAGGCAGGGGCAGGTTAGGAGGGAAGCAGGAAAGCCCCCGCTGGGTCAGAAAACCCCATGGGCTCTGCGCAGATTCGGCTGCCAGTCAGACTCAGCCACGAAGATGAACCAGACCGCACGCGGGCCGCCTGCAGGGCTGCCGGCCCTGGCGGGTGGGCGCGGCTCCTAGGTGCAGTGCGGCGTGTCTGGGGCAAACCCTCCGGGTTGAAATGCGCAGCCCAGCGGGGAGCCGCTGTGCCTGGCCGCAGAGGGCGGTGGCGCCCCGGGTCAGCCGTTCACCCACATCATAACCAGACCCGCGGTGCTTACTGCGCGCCGGAGCCCGTGGCTGACTGATCACTGATGAGAGTGAGCCCCGTTTACACAGTCAGCGGCTGCGATGTGGAGGGTCTTCGGGTGCTGGCCGGCCCAGGGGCCGCGTGGTCTAGCGCGGGCAGTTTAGGCTCCGGACCGGCCACGCCCGGGGCTCCACTGTTGGCTGGGAGCGGCGCTGGGCCGCAGCGGGCGGGTGCCTGCTCAGGGGGCTGCGGCTTCTCCGCCAGACACGTGACGGGGCCCGTCTCAGAAGCAGAAGGAAGCTTCCAGAGTGCAGGCCTGGAAGGGCGTGGGCAGGGCGGAGAGAGCCGTGGGGACCAGCGCTCCACCTGACAGGCCCGGCGCGTGGGGAAGGGTGTCAGGAGAGCAGAGGCGAGGGGTTCGGCAGCATCCGGACCTCACCGGGAGGAGACGCAGGCGGGGGGATGGCCTCGCCCTCGGGGGTACCCTGCACGCACCCTCACGCTGGTGGCCTGCTTCTGACTGCACCCCGCCACCGCGGAGAGTCAGGCACACACCAGCTGCATCTTGTGTCCCGGAAAGCGGGGTCCAGACGGCCCACGGTTACTGTGGCGACGCTTAGTGGTGCCGGCGCACGGGACGTTGCCTCTGAGACGCGCTCATGGGCTCATTGTCCTTCCTGGGCGTTGTTACTTCAGCCACGGCAAAGCAGGCTGGCGCTCTGGGCTTTGTTTGCCAGAGGGAGGACTCAGAGCCCACCGTGCCGGGCCAGGCGGGGTGGCCAGACCCCGCCAGCTGCGTGCGTGCGCCTGGTCCCGGCCTGCTCGTCAGTGCTGTTTTCTGGGTCATTGCAGGACCTGCCAGACGTGCAGGAGCTCATCACACAAGTGAGGTCCGAGAAGTGCTCCCTGCAGGCGGCAGCCATCTTGGGTGAGCCCCTCCCCCACACCCCTCCCCCCACACTGCCGATTTAAAGTAAAATGGGTTGTCTTGGTTACTCTGCAAGATTTCCGTTTCCCCCTGCCACACCAAGTGTCAGGTTGTATGGAAGACTCGGGGAAGGCTGCCGTCTCCCGCTGTGCCCCCTTGGCTGGGCTGACGCGTGGGTTCTGGGGCGGCGCGTCTGTCTGTCTGTCTGCACTGCTTCAGCAGAAGTTGGGCCCACACAGGAGAGAGCCGTTTCCCCACACACGGCCACGTTTGCGCTCTGGAGTGGGGGTGAGCGTGCCGCTGTGACCGTGTGTGCGGTCTGTTCTGACTGAGTCCTGTGACCTTCCAGACTCAAGCGACCCCCGTCCAACAGAGGTCTCCTCCCAAGTCAAGGACAGCAAGGTGGGTCTGGGCTCTGACTCCGGGGCCTCGGGCCGGGGCCCGGCGGCTGTGGCGAGGCGTCGGCCTCCTTGGCAGCCCTCCGCTGCTGCCGTCGTCGTGCTCTGAGGCTGACGCGCCGTGCGAGGTCGGGGGCCAGGAGCCTGGGCTGTGGCCGTCCCGCCCGGCCCCTCCGCCCCCTGGGTTGCAGTGTCTGGGCTGTGAGGCGGGGCAGTGTGGCAGACTTAGGTGATTGACAGGTCCCCCCTTTGATTTGCCCTCCAGCCTCTGGTCGAACGGTTTGAGACGTTCTGCCTGGACCCTTCCCTCGTCACCAAGCAGGCCAGCCTGGTGCACTTCCCCCCGGGCTTCCAGCCTGTCCCTTGCAAGCCCCTGTTCTTCGACCTGGCCCTCAACCACGTGGCTTTCCCGCCCCTGGAGGACAAGCTGGAGCAGAAGACCAAGAGCGGCCTCACCGGGTACATCAAAGGCATCTTTGGGTTCAGGAGTTAACCGGCTCCTCCTTGGGGGTCGGGGAGTTACTGACTCTGAGTCTGTGTTGTGAGAAAACCCCAGCAAGTTCCGTGACATTAAAGCCAGGTCCGCACCGGCCCGGGGCGCGCGAGTACCTGCCGCAGCCCAGCGTCCCTCCGTCTGTTCTGTGCACGTCCATTCTAGCCAGTGCTCGCAGCCTCTGGCCCTGTGGTCAGTGGCTGGGGCCCCTCTGTCCCCACGTCCCCAGGGAGTGGCCGCCACACTCTGGGCCTGCGGGAGCCGGGACTGGCGGCCTTGGGTCGGTAGCGCGTTCGGGGTCACGCCAGGCACGGATGGGGCTGTCAGGTCGCGTCCTCAGTACCGTGGCCAGGAAGGGCCGCCTCGCCGTGCGCCCTGAAGCCTGTGAGCGGCCGAGACTCAGACACTGGCCGCGGCCCGGGGTGCAGCCAGCCTTATTCCCCTTCACCTCCAAGTGCAAGCTGAGACGTTTCAGAACAAGCAAAGAGCTCTATTTTTAGAAGAAATGTGTTACTCTCACAGTGATGGAAGCAAATCTTATATTAAAAGGCAGAGATGCTGGAGACTGTGCCGTTTTTACACCCTCACACGTCCTGCGCTGGGCCGCCCCCTGGCGGGCGCGGGGTGGGGGGGCAGGGCTGGAGGAGCCCCCGTTTCTAAGGAGCTTCCTGCCTGGGTTCCCCACTGCTGGACCCCCCTTCTTTCCTCCCCCGCTCTAAGCTTTTGCCCTAGTCAGCCTTTTTGTTTCTGTTGGAGGTCGTTGGCCACAGCTGCAGTAAGAGGAAGCGGGAGTAAAGGTGGCGAGAACCGCTGCACCCTTGGGAGACACGAGCTTTGGGGGCCCCCCACAGGAGGGGCGTCTGCCGCAGTGCAGGACAGGGGCCTCCCGGGGCCCTAAGGGGTTCAGCCTTAGACTAGGAAGCTGCCGCAGCCACTGCAGTGTCCAATCCCCGGCCAGGGAGTGACCCACACGGCACAGGACACCCCTCCTGTCTCCCCATTGCCCCCTCAACAGTGGGTGTCAGGCCATCCGCCTGCTCTGCTCCTCTGGGGACTCTTCTCACCCTGCCCCCCCCCCCCACTCTGCGGGTCTACACCTCAGTTCTATGCAAAAATTAATCTTAAAAAAAGTGCAGGGCCCTGGGGTGTCCTGGAGTGTGAGACATCACAGCAGGCTGTGGGGTGAGGGCGCCTCGGTTCCCAAGGGCTGCAGAGGGGTGCCAGGCTGGAGGGTGGTGGGGGTTTGCCAAGCGGGCTGCTTTGGTAGACTCAAGTCTTGTGAAGGACTTGAGCTGCTCGGGGCCGTGACTGCCCCGGGGTTGCCGTCCGGGCCTCTGGCATCACGGCCAGTGCAGCATGGCGTGGCCTGCGGGCGCGGGCCGTTCGCCCAGCTCCCCTTCCTCTCCCTGATTCTTCTACTGGGGGTTCCAGCGACTGTGCCACACAATTTGCGGCCCAGCAGACACAGAGCAGGTGGTGAGGCCCAGGGCTCGCTCCATGTCCCGGTGGGCTCCGCCCTCCCCACCTCCCCCGGGCGACCCCTCGCCCTTCCCCTGCAGAGCCGCCCTCAGTGCCCAGGGCCCAGTTCAAGGCCTCGCGGCTGCGGCCAGTCCTGCAGCCTGCCGGTGGGGCGGGCTGCAGCGCCCCCTGCCCAGGGCCCTCCGCCTTGCTCTCGCTGCAGAGCCAGGCCCGTCCCCACTGCTGCGTCTGAGCTGCTGCTCTGGCCACACCGCAGGCTGCCTCCCCGGCGCCCCGTCCACTGCTCCATGGCGGTGGCCACAGTCCACCAGCAAGCCCGTGACAGGGCATGTTTAGTGTTCAAAGCACATTATTTACATAAGAGGACAGACCTGGCAGGCTGACCTCTCCGGTCAGTTTGTATATCCCTTCACGGCGGGTCCTGGACACTTCCCAGGCCGCGTCCCGGGGTGGAGGGCCCCGTCCTGTCCTCAGGCCTGGAGCCACACGCCGCCTCACAGGGATGGCTTCCGGTGCCAGCTACTCCTGGAGGGATCCACAGACACATGGGGGCGCACGGGCCCTCCCCCCAGGAGCAGGCCGCGCCGGAGCCTCAGGCGGGTCTCTGCTGCCCCTCAGCCTGCCCCCCTCCCCAGGTGAGCACTGTGTCCTGGCAGCTGTTGAGCCTGGGCGGCTCCGGCTCCGGACCCAGGGAGGGAGAGGAGCAACCTACCCGTTTCTGAATTACAGACTTCTGAGAGCTGCTGGTGGTGATTGGCATGGGAGGGCCAGCGGGCTTTGGTTAACAGGCAGAACGCTGACACTCAGCCCGAAAAGACACCATCCGTCAAGCTCGTCACCTTTGGTTTAGAACGAGGCCGGGAGGCGGTGGCCGGGGCGACAGGCCCTCCCTCTGCCGCACAGGCACCTGCTCCCCGTTACACGCGCATTCTTGCCAGGAAGCCGAGTGAGAATCACTGGATTCCTTCCGGAATGAAACTGCCGCGTTTGGTTCTCCGCAGGCCACCGCTGGGCCTCTCCCGGGGCCCGGCGCCCCACTCCCGGGCCCCACCCCCTCCCGGAGCTCAGGCCTTGGCTTCACCGCCTCTGGAAGTGGACTCCGGGGTGTGGGGCAAGGCTCTGCCCGGTCAAGGCTGGCTGTGAATACCCCACACGGCACCGGCCATCACATGGAGCTGAAGGATCCCAGAGTCCCACAGGGCACGTGGCGCCTGCAGCCTGGAAAAGCGTGGGGTCCTCACAGGGCTCGGGAAATGTCCCAAGATAGCAAAGATATGTGCTGGCTCTAATTTTGGCGGGGGGAGAGGGGGGAGCGGGGACACTTGTTGCGCAGAGGAGATGCAAACCAGCCGTGACATTTATCGATGTTCCAAAGCAAGGAGACGGCTGGACGCTGCCTGCGTCCGGACACAGCAGCAGAGGAATGGGGCCTGCCGTGCTGGCGCTGGGGGAGGCGCGGGCGGGCAGGCGCGGGGCTCTGCCCTGTGTGTGGGCCTGGCGAAGGCGCTGGCACTGGTCGGTACCAGCCACAGGAAATGTTCCGGGCACCGAACGCGGGAAGTGTTGGCCCCTTCTGGCGGACACTGTCAGGGCAGGAAGCTGCAGCACGGGCCGGACCCCACGCCCAGCTGAGGCACAGCCCACACACCCCGCGGCTGCATCTGCCCCCCCAACTCGGGGTGGAAAGGGGAGCCTGGCCGCT